CCTTGCAATACCATGTCCTCTGTCAGAATAATTGCACTCTCATCTTCCTCATGGTCGATAATAGTCGGTGAGGGCAATTCTTCATAAACTGGAGAAATCAATTTGCTCATTTTAGATGCCCATTCACGCCTTCCTTCTTTCATCTCTTCACTCATCTTTTGTGTCTCCTGTTGAAGTTGATGTACCTCCTGTTGAATTTGATATGTGTTAGTAGCTATTAATTCAACTATTTCTTCAAGAGACATACCTGACATGGATGACGGTTCTTGAGACTCATACTGCTAAAAATCTAGTGGCCCTGTTGTATAATTATAACTGGAGTTATCCCACCATCCTTGATCATACCCGTTTGGATTAGGGTTATACCACGTTTGAGACCATGGTGAAAAATCTCCATAATTATTGAGTGGGACACTCAGATTATCTTGATATTCGGGGCACATACCGGTCGAATGATCCCTGGCATAACAAATTTCACAGGTTGCAGCAGCCATTCTTTCTCTAATAGAGTTTAGTGCCTCTAAATATGCAAACTTAGAAAAAAAATCAGTCTCATTGCCTTCCTCGGAAACAAAATCCAGTAAATCACCAAAATACGGAGTGTTAGAAGGCATAAACTATATAATAAAAAATAAGAGAAAAATAAATAAATAAAAATAAAAACAAGATGAACTCAAAAAGAAACAAATTAATCTGGCACCAGTCCCCGGCAACGGCGCCAAAAATTGACAGGCCGTCGAACCTGTACAATAATAAATATCTACTCGAGAAAAATACAGATTTTGTAGATAGCGGTGAGTAGGGTCGAATCCACAGGGACTGGGGATAATTCGTTTTTTCTAGAGTTCAAAGTATGGGGGGATTTTTGGATTAAATGCTAACTAAATAAATTAACTGCAGAAAATAATTAATTAAAAGAAATAATTAAGAGAAACTTTAGCCAAGGGTACACGTCAGAAATGGTTCATGCACTGATCATCGATGCAGAAATAATTCCAACATTTAGTAATAGATCAGTTATAGTTGTCATACACGCGATAAACAACCAACCCTTTCTTAATTTATCGATAGTCAAGGTACGACCGTTAACTATTTCCCTAACCCAAAAACAATCCTAGGTACGACCGTAGAATTTAATTTCTAGATTGCATTAATAATTAGAAAGGCCCAATCCTAACTAACAAACACGCTACGAGGGTTTGTTTAAATTAGATCGTATGTTCCCCTGACATAAACCCAATTACGCCAGTTGCTACTGAGATAAAGATAACGAACAATTACGGATTCAATTATCCCTATTTAGCAAAATAGCCTATGTGAATAATTAAATATTGCGCATCTATTCAATCATTCACACGAGCTATAACGGTTAAAAGCAGGAAACATATGAATACCAATAAATGGAGGAAGCAATTAAAATAAATTAGATCTCACAGAAATTATTGAACTAAATCTTCAGTTGTCCCCTTGACTAGCAGTAGGAGGTTAGTCCTCCATTAATGGAGAACAACCCGGTGAAAAAGCAATCTGAAGCTTACAAAATTCTTCCTGGCCAAATCGGCCAAGGAAGGAAAGTGAAAAAAGTCGGCTGCGTAGAGAAAGTCAAAAGGAAAAGAAGGCGTCTGACAGGGAGAAAGAAAACTAAAAGCTAATCGCCGCAGACGTGAATCTGGCTTTTCCTTTTTATATTCTCCAAGTAGCGCCCCAGTAGAGAAGTAAAAACGTCTGGGAGTTAGGCTTTGTCTAAGGGTCCTGATCACATGCATCTGGTTCACGTGAACCCAACTTCTTAATTGGCCTACTGCTACCAATCCCGCGAGTCCGTCTTTTTCTCTTCTTTGCTTTGTTTTCTCCCAAATTAGCCAAAGCTCCAATTACAAAGGTCCACCACCGTGGCTTTCTCTCCATGGTCCCCACATAGCAAAGCCAAACGGAAATTCATGACAAGCCAAGCAGACCTACTAGGAGTCTAATACTTCCCTCTTTTTCCTTTTAGTAGCCACGAAATTGAAGGAATTGATTTTCCTAATTTTTAACTTTTTGAAACCAAATAGACTTCCTCCTAATCTTCCGTTAATAATTCATGTAGGCTCCCTTTTGAATTAGAAAACTCTTGAAAAATCAGATTTTTTATTTCTTTTTGCTCCACCTTCCTACAATTAGTACCAAATACCAAATATAAGTAAAATCAATCAATTAAAATAATATTTGGTATAATAAAAGAGGAAAATAATCATAGAATTAATGGTAAAAATACAACTTATCACATCCCTTGCCATTTCTTCCACTAAATCAACCACAAACAACATGAATTAGCACATCTTACGTCTATGGAGTCGCAAATAAGTATATCCCGAACTCCATTCTCACTCTGAGAAAGAGGAAAAGAAGGAATCTGAGAGAGAGAGAGAGAGAGAGAGAGAGAGAGAGTAAATAAGTAGTAAAGGGTAATTTCAAGTTTGGATAGATTCCCAAATTATATTCACAAATTTGCTTTTAAGTCCTTCAAATTCTTAACATCTCACACATAATTCCCAAAGTTTATTCACTTATCTCATAATTTAATTGGCTTTGCAACAAGGGCGGTTTGCACTTAAGCTCACACTGACCTAGCACGGAGATCTATAACATGCATGAATTTAACTCCTAGAGCATGGAAAAGAACAAATTAAACCATAATAAGCTCTGATACAAAATATAAACTAAAGTGATTTTACCTTTATCCAATGAGAATAACCACAGCATAGAAGCCGAACAAAGAAATGATAAAAGAGAGATAAATCTGGATGCCCCTGATTGGTACCATGGCAAAGAGGCCACTCATAAATGCTATCACCATTGCTATCATGGCATATCCAATACCTAGCTCACTGGAGAATATTGTGAATTGAGCTGCGTCAAATAAAAGGTCCAGCTTCTAATGGACTACAATTTGTTATAAGACTACGAGGATAGAGTGCAGAAACGCCAATGAATCTGAAACAACAAAGACAATGAAAGCTGCTTTTATTGCGTCCATTACCGCTTTCAAAGCCACCTGGACGGTAAAACCAGCTGCAAAAGTCACTGTAACTATGAGTTAGCGACAATCAAGTAAGAGTCACTGTTTCAATCAACCTTCGATCTCTTCATCTTTGTCAACAGCTATTGCTACACTCCTTACGGTAACATTACTGATACTTGGGTTAGCACCAGCACGTTTGAGCTGGCCCTTAATTTCTTCCTGACAATGAGTTAAGAGACAATATAATTGTTTGCGCCAAAAAAAAAGGCGACGGTAATCGTTAATCTTCGTGAAGTATGAATAAGACGCAGTTGTTCTAAGAGATCATAATTTGTTGAAAGAAAACGGATTTGCCAATCAGTAGTTAAAACATGAATACTGAACACTGTCAAATGGTGCACTAAAATGTATGGAGTTTGCTTGAAATAACTCATGAACAAACCAATTGATCAATTTAAAACAAGGAAAAATCTTGGTTTAAGATTTTGTCCAATTACTTACATGCCTATTATTTCGGTAATTGTATTTATTCATGTGAGTGTGCCAGTATGGGCTAAATGACTTGAATAGTTTATCAGCTTATATTAATTGTCCTATTTTGTCCCTCAACATTTTAAAATGACTATTAAGTTCTTAAATTTCTTAGTTTTGCCTCAACTGATCTTTAAGCCAAATTTAACATGTTCAGATGCATTTGATAATCAAAACTAGAACATTTGAATTAATTAAATGACACTAAATTTTTTAGATAAAATTTGTTCTAAAAAATAAGTGATAAATTATTTACTTACTTAACGTGATATACATTCAAATGTATTAAACTTAGTACTTAACAATTCACTAATTTAACTGATTCAAATTTTATCACGGCACCCTGGGTATCTAAACAACGTTAGAATCTCAACAAACTCTTTGAGATTTTGAATGCAACAACGCATTTACTACCTTACTGTCAAAAAAACAAAAAATAAAAAATAAAAAAAAAGATGCCACAGGTGGGCGTTCACAGCTTGCACCCCAGCCACATTGGTGACTGGGCCAACTCTTGAGATTTGCCTTTGGGCCATTTTGCATCAGAAGGATTTGAGGATCCAAAAGGGGCATTGTTAACGTCGTTGTTGTTGGGCGCAAATGTGTTTCGGTAAGCTCATCAAAGTGAAGTATGCTGTCGAGAGCCGTGGAATTGGAATTGTCGAAAGCACTGACATCTTTTTTTTTTTTTTTTTTTTTTAACTTCCACAGCCAATTTCCATTAAAATACAATTATGCCCTCCAATAGTCAAATGTTGAATGCACTTTAAAATGGGTAAATTTGTTATTTCAAGCAAAATTGGCTGTGGCATTATAACTACCAGTGACAAGAGTGATTTACAAGGCTTTCTCCATTGAGTTATGAATTATTATGTACTAAATGTAATACAATTAAATGTATATTACATTAAATGATTGATGAATAGGTTACCACTTAATTTTTGGAATATGTTTTTCTTAGAAAATTTAGTATCATTTAATTAATTCAAATGTTTTATTTTTATTTTTTATCAAATGCATTTGAATACATTAAAGATCTAAAGACATTAAATTTAAATATTAAATTGGATTATCAAAGAGGGCTTAAGGTTTTGGTAGCGACATAGAGGTGGAGAGGAGTAATTTTCATGAATTATCTTTCTCCATTGGAGCTGACAAGAAATTTTAGTTCAACTGAAGTTGGCACAAAAGTTGTTAACTCTCTCGATTAATGAATTGGATCAATTGGAGTTATGTATCTGGTTACTGGCGCGCACGATAACATTTCTTTCTCTCTCTCCCAAGATGCATGAATGAGAGCATCTAACAACTCTATTATCCAGGGTGAGATTATTGCCCAAATTGATCAATCACCATTAAATAATTGGTAAATTACAAATTCAAATACCTCCCAAATATCCAAACAACCTAGAGAAATTTGAGAGAATTTAAAATCGTTTAATTCAAACGTAACCAGAAAGAATTGTACAGAGGGAATAAACAGATACTGAAAATAGTGTATTAGATAAATGGTCAAATGGTTTCCATAGCTCAAAGCCTCCAAATAATGCAGAAAAGCATGATACCCATGTAGTACGTGCTAGTAGTAGTTTTTAGGTGACAAATTTACTAGCACAAACTAATCTGCTTCAGTTAAGTCCTGACACCAAAATCCGAATCTACCTATACTCAAGGAACGGTCGGCTTCAGTATTTCTGAATGTAGATATATAAGTCTTTGTTTTCGGAATGACCGCAAAATACATCAGTGGTATCTGAAAGCCAAAGAAAGCAGCAAGCACGCACATCACAATCTTGAGGCTCAAGATCTGTAGCACTGAGTACAAGCCAGCGACAAATGCTATCAGCATTAGTGTGATAGCAGTAAAAATGTCAGACTGAATGCCATCTAGCTGAGACAATTTTGACCTTGCGTTTTTTCTCCGCACGAACTGAAGTAGTCGAGCCACTGCAAACACGGAGATTACTAGTGCTAAAGAATCTGAAATTACGAATGTAATAAAAGCTGCTTTCTTTCCTAGAACTGCCATGCCTTGGTTTGGGCCACCGCTGCTATTGTATCCACCTGGGACAGTAAAACCGGCCGCAAAAGTGACTGTTGCAATCAGTGTGGCCACAATCAAATAAGTCCCTGCCAGTCTTTCCTGTTGTTCATCAGTTTTCGATGATCGTAAATTCTTCTTTACAGTGGCTAAATTTCGATAACCTGGAGAGCCACCTGCTCGCCGCAACTCATCCCTGATTAAAATCTACGCAAATGGTTTTAGACACCAAATTGCAACAATAATGTCAGTGATTTCATTTGGCCGTTAATGTCAGTCGGTCTTGGAGTGCTCTTACGACCCCACTCTGACAAAACATGTATAATATCGAGGGAAAGGATACATAATTGGAAATGTTAACATTCATACTTGGACCGGCTAAGGAAGTGATCTGCTGATGATATTCAATCCAATCAGCAAAGCAATCCTTTGTTTCCTAAAACTTTTTTCAACAAATATAATGTTTAACTCACTAGTCTATGCCTATTTTACCTCTCGTATCTTATTTCTCATATCTACATGTCCTTTCTACGATAGCATCTTTATATCTAGTGTTAAAAGTTCTAAACATTTGTCATAGAAGTGGAGGATCAAGTATTAATTTTTATTTTCAACTGGAGCACAACCCATTCATTTTACCAAAAAATGAAAAGAATGATAAAAAAAAAGTACTTCGAAATGTAACAAACAAATGTTTATTTATTTGGACTAACAATTTCTATACTAGTATAAAATAAATCACTCTTATCATATTTAAGGGACCAAAATCTTTCATGGATATATGGTTACATTGTTTATTTGATTATATACTCTTCTTCTTTTTTTCTCATTTTCTTTTTTGTCATTTATGAACTCCAAAAAAAATGCGGGTCGAACATCCAATTTATTAGACCTAGTAAAAGTAGAAAAATTAACAAATTTTTTAATATAACCAATAAGACCATGCAAACAGACCCCCGGCCCGGGGAAGGCCGGAGGAAAAATTCTTACCTGTCTTCCTGAAAGCTTATCTTCTGGTACTAATCCGTCTAGAGGCGTGGAGTTCAAATTATCGAAAGAATTGATATCCACACAAGGGTGATTTACAAGGCTTTTTCCATCTAAGTTTTGGGTAGCAGCATACAGGTGGAGTGGAGTGTTTCCATTCTTATCCTTCTGATTAATGAGTTCAGAAGCCCAAGGATAATATAGGACAAATTCCAAGACATCTCTTTGTTCATATTTTACTGCAAGATGAAGGATATTCTGTTGTTTATTAGTGCACTTCTCCCAACAATCTGGGCAATCGGATAAAAGCTCTTGCACCACACCTAAATGTCCCTCAATTACAGCAACATGTAGAGCAGTCTTGGAGTCATCCTTGCGGGCAGCAACATAAGCCATAGATAAGAATAGTTTTACCTTAGCAGATAATAATAGTTTTACCACGTCTTGACGATTGAATTTAGCAGCATAATGAAGCGCAGTCCATCCAAATTTATCGACCCTTTTGATAATGCGAGGCAGCTTTTGCAAAATCCGCACCATGAGTTCTGCAATCAGCTGATGTTTTACTAAACGATAGTGTAATTCATTAATCCATACGAATCGATTATTAAAACTGAGACATATTCAAGTGGAACTATATGTGTGTGTGAGAGAGAGATTAATGGATAGGGACAATCACGGTAGAGTAAAACCCGATATCCGGAGGTACACTCACCATTGATTAATTTGATTATATGATCGATAGGTTACTTATTAGGGTTTTCAGGAATGATTTTTCAATAAAGTTCGATAAGAGGAGCTAAGAAAGCACAGCCAATGGTGATTTTTATATAATTTGCTATTGATTTTTAGATATTTCATAATTATTGGTATTTCTTTGATTGCATCTGAGTCTGCTTTTTGTACCGAGGAAAGAATGGTCAGCTCATATGTGTTCAGCAAATACATAAGGTTTCAACCAAATACATTCAAAGTTTTATTGTGCTCAGCAAACTGAATGTGGAATTAAGTTGCAGGTAAATTACATTCGTTCTTTTCAGTTTTAGTTATCCAAGTGTTTGCTTAGAAAAACATCCTTTTCTCTTCATATTTCTTATTCTCATATTCTAATGCTTATGAGAAGTCAGCAGTGAAACGATTAAAGTTTAGTTCAGTTGAAGATGATGATGAGGAGTTAAAACATAAGAAAGAATATATCATTTCATAGGCGAGAACCAGAAGAAAGAATGTACCAATTTATCTTTGAAGGGATTTTTGTGGCATTTAGTTTTTATTTCATTTTGACCCATTTGACCATGAACTTTGGAGTAAAAGTTTTTTCCTATATTGTATGTGATGGGATTGTTGAACCTTGAGTTTAACCAATGTTTTTTTTTTTTTTCTGATGTGGTGTTTTCATTTTGATGTGCTAAAATTTTAATTTAACAAATATTAGTTTCTAGATTTTTTGAACTACTTATATGAGTGTATTTTGGTTTCATGGTTGATTTGACAAGTTTAAGCAGCGGGTAGAGGATATATGATGCACGTAAGTGCGTTTAGAAATAGAAATTAAACAAGTAGACTTCTAATAAGGTTTGATAAAAAAAAAAACTAATATTTTTGTAAGCTAGAGAGATTTTAGAGGTACTCTATCTATTACTATTCCTCCTAATACATAAACCATTTACTAATTCACCACAGGGTTATCTATTATTTTTGTGCCATTTTATTATGTTCATTAATTCAACTCATCATTTGATCGTTTGAAATTATCAAAAGTCCAAATTTGCTATTGCGTTGAAGTCTTGAAATCGTGGGAAATTTTGAATCAAATTACCATTTTCCATTAATTTTCCACATTTTGCATTGCACCAATTCTTCTCTTAACTTCAGCAACTGATATGTAGTTTTTTTAATTTAAATTCAATTTTCAAAAAATTCACCGTAAAAAACAAATGAAAAACACTCATGTCTTAGACTTCAGTAAATTTAAACATTTTGCCTTGTAAACCTCAGAGTGTGGCCCCATCTTTTTACGAAAATCTAAAGGTACCCCCTCAAGTATACATCTTCCCTCTCTCAATTCTCAATTTCTAGTTCCGCTAAGGTGGATTTGATAGAATAGCATCCACATGCAAAATTGAAGAAATTGGAAAATCTCAGGAGGAAATTTCTTAGTTGTTCATATTACAAGTCTGTTTCAGTTATAACAGTACAATCTTTCTGAATTATTTTGGACGTGAATAACTTTTTTCGATTTCAAACGCACTTCGAAGGCATGTGGTTTATAGACATTTTTTTTTCCTTCTTTTCCAATTAACTCGACAGGGAGACTGCATTTTTCTCAAAAGTGCCGTGTGTTAAAGTTGAATGTGTTGTTTTCTTTTAATCAGTCCTAAAAACAGAAAAGCTAAAGTTGAATGTTACTTTATGAAAGACACTTCTCATTAATGAATTATGACTCGTCTCATTTGGAGCTGATTGTATCAGCGTGTCCCATTTGAGTTGAAAATTCAAAGCACTGCCTCACACACCCCGCCCTCCCCGGGCCCATGCCCGCTTTTCTTTTTCTTTTTTTCCAGCGTGTGAGGAAAGAAAAACATCAAATGAAAATAAAGCTCAAAAGATTTCCTTTCTTTTGGTGATTATATTCATTGACTGATACAAATTAGTAATGTAATGTACCTGGCAAATTCCATATTGCTGCAGCGTGAAGGGCGGTTTTGTGGCCGGGGCCAAGATAAGCTGGTGATTTGCAAGTCGTCAAAATCAGCTCCGCAGTATCCCGATATCCCTTCTCAACTGCGAGATATAGAGGAGTCTCCACAGCATGATTGGGGCGATATCGGAACTCAGGATCTTCTTGAACCAACAACTTAGCAACCTCATAGAAGTTGTTCTTAACTGCCTCGTGTAAAGCTGTGTTTCCATCCACATTAGCCATCCTCACCATCCTCTTGCATCTGTCGACGAAACAGGCACAAAACCAACATCCTTTGTTCTGTTTACTATAATCAATAAGTGCTCGAACAACGCCAGAATGCCCCTTTCTTGCGGCCAAATGAAGTGCAGTCTCACCACGAGCATTCTTTACCGTTAGCAAACTGCCATTTCGTGCAAGGATGCGTTGGACTACATCTGCAGAGTCACAGGACTGGGCTAATACGTGAAGGACAGTGTTTCTTTTTGGAGTCCTCTGAGTCAGGAACTTGCCCGAAAATCTTCTAATTACAGCCCACTCACCTAACTGTGCTGCTGCGTACAATTCAGGATTCATTCCTTTTTGTGCAAGTATAAGCAATTCAGGATCCATTGCTTTCTGCAACTAATTATATAGTCTGTATCAGAACTGGTTGAACCTACTGTCTGCGTTGTAGCTCAAATATGCATAAGAACCATAGCAGTGATAGATTCAGCGGTTTATTTAATTTGTTGAGCTACAAGAATTGAGACAGCTCAAATACGGAAGCCATTGATTTGTTATGTGCTTCGAAATGATTACCAGAAGAAGCGGGTTTAAGGCTTGTTTTGTCGGATGAAAGGAGCTAGAAGAGGAAGGGGAGAAAGTATCCAGCAATTGACAAGAACGAATAAGAGTAGAAAAAGGTAATTAAATTATTGGTTTCCCTGATCGATATTTATTGGAAACCCATTAATACACATAAAATTTACTTAATCCATCATATATATATATATATATATATATATATATACATATATTAATAATAATTATTATATTTTATATTTATATACTTTCTGTATTTAATCTTATCTATACTTTTTTATATTTATTTATTTTTTTCTAATTAATTTTTACTTTTAAAAAATATGACACTTAAAATATATTAGACACCAATTCAATAGTCCCTTGAAATATCTAAAGGGCATGAATTGACACAGTATTATAAACAACAGACAAACTGTTATCAAACCTTACATAATTCGAATGCAAAAATAAGGCCAAGCTAAGCATCCACTGTTTAAAATTCTAAGAACCATTGCCCATTGGTGCCCGTGTTTTGTATTTCAAGATTTTATTGCTAATATTTTGGACAAAAATTATGCCGACATTATTGACCTCTACATGTCTGGTCTTTTTTCCCACAAATTGCAAAAACACGCTCCTAATTAGACCGACACAGGAGGCATCGGCAAATCAGTCCGAAAGCAATATAAGGAGACCCACAAGCAAGTCTGATCTCAGTGGGTCGATTTTGGCTGAAACAAGGAGATCAACCTAATGGGAAATGGGACTTGTTCAAGTCCGGGACCAGGCAGAGAAAGACAAGAAAGTGAGAGGAATCTTCTCACTTAAGAAAAATGAAAAAGGTAACATGTGAACTTGACCCGTAAAGCTCCATCATTTTGTCGAGAAAGATGCTTAAGTCGATGCTAAGAAATTCAAGTGGAATAATTTACCCATAAACAAAATGTGAGTGGGTTGGGGGTCTGTCTATTTTCTATTCATCAATTCCCGCGCCTTTATCGCAGATTTGTTGAATGTGAATGACAATAGCTAGCCGAATTCATCAAGCGATCCAAGTAGACTGCAACAACCTGTGATATTATTAATCTAATTTCTAAACCTCAGATACTAAGCACCATGAAAGCCTTAGAGGCAAGTTTTAGCTTATACCCTTTGCATTATTGGAAAGCCAAATTTAAATCCATTACTCTCCACTCTACATAGAAATTATATACAAAAAAAAAAAAAGAGTTTTGATATTTATGATATAAATCCCTAGCCTGTGGTGGTGTTTGTATTAATGCCATAAGCCCATAATTGTGGAGCTTATGAATTTTTTACAGTTCCTTTTGGATATCACGCTTACAAATGAAATCCACCGTTAAATGGTGAAAGAAATGTTATTAATCATTAGATTAAATATTGTTCAATATTTAAATTTTAAACTATTTATCTTTAGTGAGAGATATATGTTGATAAAATGATATTCAACGGGAACCATAAATTGTTTCTATGAATTGTGGATGAGAAGTGTAAAGTTAGCCTACCCTTCTCACATTGGCGATGATTTGAAATAGTACAAGTAATGGCAATATAAATTCCATAAACAATTATATTGTTGGCTATTTATTTCCTTACTGAGGATAAGCATTTTTACTATTTCCATCAACATCAGTTGATGACATGATTCAAGGAGGTTTTATTTGGGGGAAGTGGACTGATATCAGCTAAATCAACTGGTACGCCGCAGTTGAGATTTTTTTATTTTTATTATTATTATTTTTTACTGAGTATTCCTACCAAGACGGGCGTGATTGACAGAATACTGATACTCATGAGGTTTACGGGGAGGTTGCATTGTGTCACCTCCAAATTATAAAATAGGTGCTTTATCGCATATTTAATTATTTTGGATAAAGATGCCATCAAAGTGTGTGTGTGTGTGTGTGTTTTTTTTAGCGGTGGATCCTCTATCTTATTCCAGGTGTCGTTCTCTATCCCAAATTTTTATTATATTGCTTTTTTCATAAACATCATATTTTAATTTTTTTTTTCTTAAAATTCAATAATTATTAATTAAGTAAAAAATAAATACAACATCCACAAAAAAAATATATAATAGATATTAAAGAAATAGAGCCAAAAATCCATAATAATATCATTTTTTGCTTTTTGATTTTTTGAGTTTGTTAAATTTTATGTATTATTCAGTTAATAGTTATTAGATATTAATGAAACAAAAAAACTCAAATATGATATTTATGAAGGAGTAATAGTAATATAATAAAAAGTGAGACAGAAAGTAACAAATAGAGTGAGATAGAAGATTCATTACGTTTTGTTTCCCCCTATCATTTTTCCATCTAATATTCTTTGTTCATTTTGCTTGCCTATTCTTATTCTTTTGTCCCTTGCTTTCGTTCTTCACAAAAACTTCCCAATCTCAATCATTTTATCTTACGTATTTCCTCGATTATACTACTTTTTTTTAACCTTTACCTCCTTTCCCTTGTATTTGACTTTTCTTGTTAATTGGTCGATGAAATTGTTAAATCCTTAAAACTTACAATTCTTTAAATTTACATTTTGGCTCTACATTCGCGGCACTATTCCAATGCATTTTTTTATTTTATTATTCTTGGAGCTATACTAAGTACTATTCCATATATTTTAACTGAGACTAGGGATGTCAATTGGAGTGGATGCCTACAAAGAATTGATGGGGTGAGAGATAGAAGGGGGTAGAGTAGGGCAGAGGATCATTCCCCTCCCCCCAATTAAAAAATGGGGTGAGGGACAGAGAGTATACCCGTACTTCGTCACCCGTCTAATATATACATACATACATAAATATATACATATATATATCATATTTAATATTAGTTGTTATAAATATCATATAATGTTTATGTAATATAATTAATTATATTAGTTATATTAATAATTATATATTTATACTGATGCAAATTATTGATTAATTATACCAATATATTTATATTAACTTATTAATTACACTTTTTTACTAATTATACATTTTTTCTTGCAGGTATGAGGCGAGGCAAGGGCCGGGTGGGAGGAGCGAGGGGTGGAGGCGGGGGAATGTTTCGGCAATGGGCGGCTCTTCCCCCTCACCCCTGCCCTCGTTGCCATTCCTAGCCGAGACAACGACCCAAGACTTGTTTGAATTCGTATTAGCACAGCTGGAGTGGTGGAGGAAAGTAAGTAAGATGTGACCTCTGAAACTGAAAGCATTCTTAATTTCATTAAGAAAAAATAACCTTAGTTAATGCTGACAAATTGAAGTGCAACAATTTACAAAAAAGTATAAGGAAGAAAGGATCATATGAAGTGTCGAAAACAATGGGGTACTTATGTAAATCCATTTGCCCCATCCTTACCACAGATTCGTTGAATGTGCAAAAAATATACAATTATCATCAAACGATCAAGTTGTTTGCAATTTTTAGTCGAGTACATCTAATGCGCCCCACAAAAATTTTTTTTTTGAAAAAAGAGTAAGCTCCTGAGGATAGCACGTAAAATGAATTAATTGTAGTTCAGTAATATTAAAGTGTGACTGAATAGGTTGACTTTTGTGACTTAAGAGTCTGTTTGGATAGCTTATTATTTACGAAAATTTATTGATTGCATTGTGAACATATTTTTTGATTAATTTTTTATTTTTAATCACCTTTTAAATTTCACATACATTTTATTACCAAAAAGTGATACAATATTTTTTCAAAAAACTATTCCAAATAATTTCCAATCCAAACACACTAAATAAACAAATTGATGCTGGCAGATTAAGTTTCTCTCCATTACATTGTTGAAAAAAGGCACTTGATTGCTCAAAGGTAGATACTCGTGTTGATAACGTTGTAAAACTAATAATATAAACTATTAAAAGTAGAGAACAAAGAAAGTAGAGTAGAGATAGAGAAATAATAAGAATCATTTCTATCATTCACTTGTATTATCAAAGGTTCTAAATGAGTCCTATAATTACTCTATTTATAGGTGATACAATACCAAAGATATATATATACCAACATTAATAAAAATATATGAATTGAGTAGTTTCATAAATTAGTGAAGTACGAGAAGATGTATGAATGTACTAATGAACCTTGTGGAGGGAAGAATATTCCAATCTATCATTTTAGGGATAAATGGACATCACACTTATTATTTCGTTAATTGCATAACATTTCACTTTTTTAAGGTTAAAAAAATAGCATCTCATTTCTTTGATAAATTGTATAGCAAATAAACAAATGACTTTTATTTCATGCACGTATAACTTCATTACATTTTAGCATTCCTCTAATCTAATATTAATTTTTAAAAAATTTAATACTTGATTCACTTTACTAGTGGCAAAAAGGTACTCATTAGACAATTCCACAAAGAATGCTTAAACTCACCTTTTGTATAAGTTCATCTATACGAGTAGCTTTGTTTATTATACTACGACTAGTGGTGATATATTAATTGCGAAAAGGACCTCTGCATAGAAAATATCATCGGAAATTGGAAATTGAGTTCTAAAGGGAGAAGTTTTCCCTCTATACTACTCAGCAAACAAGAAATATCTCTAACTCAATGATTATGATGCCCAAAAGGCTAATAATTTTTTGTCAGGTAACGTTAGAATGGAACACAATTCTGTTTAAATTGAAGATGAATAAAAAAATATTTTTTTTACAATAATAGTGTAGCACTTTTGTGAGTTGATGTATGCAAAATAAAAAGTTGGTTGCAAAAAAAAAGAAATTGAAAAATGAGTTTATAGTGCAATGAAAATATTTTTTTTGTCAAAAACTAACTATAGAAACATATTGAGTGTTTTATGTTTGAAATTCTTGAAAAGTAAAACTTACATATTGAGAGAATCGAGTATTAAGAATGATTCTTTGACTATTTGTTGGGGGAAAAAAGCCAATCAAAGTTTACAAAAAAAAAAATGCAAGAATTATAGTAAGCTCCATAAACAGTAAACAAAAATGTTTACACGATTGAAGACCATGAAGCCAAAGATCAAGACCAATGCCATCCATAGTAATACAGTTTTTATTTTGCTTTTCCTTTTTATTCCCAAACCTTGCGTTAGCAATTTATCCTCTCCCTAGGACGCTTGCTAATTGCACTCCCCAAAATAGGAAGCTTTGTTTG